GCTGGATTGAATGGTATATGTACGTTTAACTCTTTAAGAAATCTCCATACTGTTTTCCACAGAGTTTGTACTAATTTCCATTCCCATCAGCATGTGTAAGTGTTTCCTTTCCCCCACATCCAGGCCACCATCTATTGTTTTTTGGCTTTTTAATAATAACCATTCTTGCATGGGTAAGGTGGTATCTCATTGTGGTTTTAATTTGGATTTTCTTGATGATTAGTGATGTTGAGCATTTTTAAATGTTTTTTTGGCCATTTGTATATCTTCTTATGAGAAATGTCTATTTATGTCCTTTGCCCACTTTTCAATGGGATTGTTTGTTTTCTTTCTTGGTGACTTGTTTGAGTTCTTTGTAGATTCTGGATAGTAGTCCTTTGTTGGATGCATAGTTTGCAAATATTTTCTCCCATTTTGTGGGTTATCTGTTTACTTTGTTGATTATTTCTTTTACTGTACAGAAGTCTTTTAGTTTAATTGGGTCCCATTTATTCATTTTTGTTTTTGTTGCATTTGCTTTTGGAGTCTTAGTCATGAATTCTTTGCCTAGACTGATGTCTAGAAGAGTTTTTCTGATGTCATCTTCTAGAATTTTATAGTTTTTGGTCCTAAAGTCCAACTCAATATCCATCTTGAGTTGATTTTTGTATAAGGTGAGCAGTATGTATTCATTTCATTCTTCTACATGTGACTTGCCAGTTTTCTCAGTACCATTTAATAAACAGGGTGTCTCTACCCCAATTTATGTTTTTGTATGCTTTGTGAAGATCAGTTGGCTGTATATATTTGCCTTTATTTCTGGGTTCTCTATTCTGTTCCATTGGTCTATGTGTCTACTTTTATACCAGTAGCATACTGTTTTGAGAGCTATAGCCTTGTAGTATAATTTGTTCTTTTTGCTTTGGATTGCTTTGGCTATTCAGGTTCTTTTTGGGTTCCATATGAATTTTAGGATTGTTTTTTCTAATTCTATGGAAAATGATATTGGTATTTTGATGGGAATTGCATTGAATCTGTAGATTGCTTTGGGCACCATGGTCATTTTCACAATATTGATTCTGCTCATCCATGAGCATGGGATGTGTTTCCATTTGTTTATGTCATCTGTGATTTCTTTCAGCAGTGTTTTGTAGTTTTCCTTATAGAAATCTTTTACCTCATTGGTTAAATATACTCCTAGGTATTTTATTTTAGTTTTGGCAGCTGTTGTAAAAGAGAAAATACTGTACTTGTTAATCCATCTTGATTGGAAGTATAAATCCATGTCATTAAAATTTTAGGTTAAGAAAAAATTTACCTATGTTTTATTCTTACTCTAATATGAACTGAATGCCTGAGAGATGTTGTGAACAGTTAATTATAAAGTAGTATACATATGTTAATTCTGAAGTCATTAGAGAAAATTAGAAGATAGAATACAATGTTTGTTTTATCCCTGTAACTATAGCTGATAAGATTGAATCTTAGAATTAGGGTCAAAAGCTGTGCTATATCATATAGCATTTTATTTTCTGCCTAGGGTTATTTAAGAAAAAGCATCCTAAAAATAGTTAAGACCCTTTTAAAGGAGAACAGATTCAAACAATAATCTCTCCTTACAGATACAGAGTATGCAACTGGTAGGCTGTACTGCACAGACAGACTGATCTGTAGCTTGTCTAGCAAAAGCTATTCAATCTTGTGATGACCTGCCTTACAAACTCAAACATAAGTTATTGATAATAATGTCACATATTCCTGTGATAATTGAAATAGCTAATATTTGTTTAACATTGAGGTATAATTATCTTCTAATAAGGCTAAACTTTTTAAGACTTTTGTTTTCTTTGAAAAGGGGGTTACTTCTCTAGCTAATACCTATTTTGAGAATGATACGATAATATTCATAGACTTAACGTCCAGCCAAGATTGGCATCTCCTGCTACTGATATTTTCTATTTAGGATATATGATAAATATCTTATTTTTCTTTCAAGGAAACTCTGAGTTTAGGTGAAGTATTGTCTTTTATTTAAATGCTACTAGATGCCAAAGTTAACTGGTTTAAAAGTTGATTTATTTTTTAGTAAGTTCTCAAGAGCTGCGCATTAGTTGTACATGGATTTGTTGTTGTTTAATTTAGAGTCTCTTTGTTTTTTCCAATGTAACATATCTTCATTCATTTATTCTTAGATTGAAAACCACATAACTTACTTCTTATAAAGTCTTAAATGTGAAACCAAGAAATTTAATCAAGCAGTGAAAACATTCTCTGAATGTAGACCATGATCTCAGTTTCTTCCATTTTTTCCCCAAGTAGAAAATTGACTTCTGCATTAGAAAGCTAAAACATATTAATATTTTTAAGTTAAAGGTTTAATATTATCAGAATATAATCCAAAGAGTAAATAAAGTTAAATTTTAATTAATTAGATATGAAATCATCTACTGAATTGCAGTATATTAGATATACTGTTTCTTCTTAAATAAAACAGCTTAACAGTTAAAAAAAAATACGGGCTTGCCATACTTGCATTCTCTTATGCTTTTAGGTCTTACTTGCTTATTTATATTTTTACAGTAAAATAGTAATTTAAAAAGAGGGTAGAAAAGTTCTGTAGTCACTTGGGCTTCTTCTAGCTACATTGTTTTGCAAACCAGTTTCTCCTTTGGAACATCTTTATAATTTAAGTCTTTAAAAATGGTTTCAACTCAAACACTAACTATTTCTATATTAGAGAAGTTTTTATAGTATATTATGTTAATTTTTTTTTTCACATGCTCCACCCCTTTACAGTATATTTTAAATATTATCTTTGGATTTCATTTCTTTCTGTTTTGTAAGAATCATACTATGAGTCACCCAGATAAACTCAGTTTTTCTTTCAGTACTGTCTGTATAATGGGATTGTATAGTACAATGTACATTAATGAAAAACACATAGTATACATTCAGTGTACATTTTCTTTCAGTAGTATTTGTTTTTCATTAATGTACATATTTCACATGTGTATTGAAACTGAACATGTTGAAGCTCAACAAGAGTTTTTGATGAACTCTGTTTATATTATGTACAGTTAGAATGTCTAAGTGTAAGGCAGAGTGTGAGCTTTAGAGTTGGGTATCTGGCATGGTCACTTACTTGGCAAACTCTTTTTGTCTGCTGAACTTCCATATCTCTGTGCACAAAATGAGAAAAACAAAAATCTCATAAATTTTGGATTAATTTCTCACAAAACATCTATGAAGCAAATTCTAATGTTATCTTCAGAGGAAGAAAAATGGCCAAGCTGAATAGCACCACATGTAAGCACATGGGACATTCTGCACAACTGGCAGAGCTTCTGGCTTCTTCAAGTCAATAGCATGAAAGAAAGAGAGAGGGGAAATGTTCTAGAGTCAAAGAGACTTAAGATACCTCACTTGAAAAAATAACTCTAAAAAGGCATTTTGGAGGCAATTGGGGCAATATGAGTAAAATTCATTAAATAATATCAGGGAGCTATTATTTTTTTTGCTATGATAATGGTATTATGGTTAGGTTTTCTTAATACTCATAATTAACAGATTATGAGCATATATATATATATATATATATGAAATCACATAAGGGATAAGATTTACCTTGAAATACTTTAGAAGAAAACCCCACAACTGATTAAATGAAGCAAGTATGACTTAATAGTTGCAGACTTTTGATAGTTGTGGAATCTGGGTGATGGTTATGTTTGAAATGTTTCAGAATTCAAAAAAGAAAACTAAAGGAAATTATACAGTAGACTCAGATGTGAAATAAGTGGGATGCTAGTGACATAGGTACAGTGACTGGGCAAACACATATATTCCCAGGTGCCTAGAGTAGAACTCTCTTGCATGCCGATGTCTGACAAAAAGGCTTTTATCCGGGCGCTTTCATATTCACTTTGTAATTATTGTGAATGTGTAGATATGCTGGTTTGCCCTAATATGGTTTATTAAGTTGGTCTCCCTCTAAATCGTAATTTTCTCTGAAGCTGAGAAGATTTGTTTGATATTTTTACTCTGTCCTTTTCCCATTGCCCTTGCATGATTACTATTCAATGATTGCTGAATTAAACATTACTTTTCTTTGTTTAGGAAGATGCTGAATGCTAAGCACCCATCTTACTCAGGCTTCTTATTGACATGGCAAATTCTAAATGTATTACATATACATGTGTTCCTTTTCTAATTAAAAAAAAAAACTGATGGGCATTTATTTCTCCCAGTATGTAAATGGTCTCTGGAAATAGTAGCCAGTGTAGGATGCCTCAAATATCTCTCACTCTGCAGGCCAAAGCTCAGCTTTTAAAGTGGTAATTCCCAGTTATTTTATTAAATGGATGTTAAAGTCATCCCTGGATTGGAGTTTAGACTTTATTGAAAAGCTATTCTACCAACCACCAATTACTGGATAAATAAAGTTCATGCTTTTGGTCTGTTCATTGTTTTATTGTCAACACATTATTTCTCAAGGGAGAGGATGAATTTGGAAGTTGGAGGTCTTCAAATTAGGGAAGCCTGACAAATAGGCCAACTCTAATATTCATATTTACAGTGGAGGTTTTAAAAGAAATTTGACATAATATACTGCACAAATGGATGCCAATAAGTCAGTTTTAGGTATTATTTTTGAATACAAGGAGACTATTCATTTCTTCTTTTCTAATATAAACACTCCATATGTGTAAATGTTTGTAAGCCATGTTGTTATCTTAAAGAATATTTTAAAAAAATCACGAAGTGGTACAGAAACAAGCTCCTGGAAAAGTGCTGGTATCTTTTTTTCTTTTCTTTCTTTCTTTTTTTTTTTTTTTGATTTTTGGGTAATCCTGAAAAGAATTTCTTCCAAATAAAGAGATGTAGCTTTGTATTAAATTTTATAATAAAAGTTCTTAAATGATAGATTCAAAATTCTACACATCTTTATAAAAAAGATATGCCTGAAATCTTGCATGTTTTATAATATAGTACAAAATAAGCTTTTTATATGTAGGCATTTATAATTTTAAAAAAGTTTTATTAGTATTTTCAGAATAAACGAGCTAACATAAATTGTACATATTTACAGCAATAAACTACATTTCAGAAGCTGCACAACAACTTTTGTAAGTACAGCTGATGATTTTTGACACCAGCTTTCAAATGTGTTTTCATTCTTTCATTTGCTGCAACATTTAAAATCTTATAGTAACAAAGCAAAGGAAACACTAACTTATTTTATAGCAAAGCCACATTATTAACAAAAATACTGAGAACTACAGTCCTGTGACTGTTACGGTATCTGTGAGTCCTGAAATCGAGAGCACAAGCATTTCTTGTGTCCATACCTGATTGCATGTAAGTTGATTTTGCATTTTACAAGAACACACAATTACTCAAGGAATGGTTAAGAATAGAAAAAAGGCCATGAAGGATAAAGGGTCAGGAATCAGAGGCCACTGAACAGTTTCTTATTCACTGATTCACTGCTTAGAAGGAAATTGATTTTTTTCTTTCATGTGTATAAATCACAGTCTACAGGCTTCATGAATTTTGTCCACAGATAGCTTTTGAGATAACAAAGCCATAAATGTCACATACATTTAGCACATAAAAAGGAATTAATGAAACAGAGTATTTTAATTAATCCCTAACAGAAAGGGTACAGTTAAGCACACACAGTATGAAAGTTTGCTTTCAAATGTAAAAAGCAACTACAGAAAATCACAAATTTCATTAGACAGAACAGCAATTTCAATCAGAAAATGCAGCATATATTGATACAAAATAGAAAACTCGAAATATAAAAGTAAGGAGTCAACCTTTTCCTTTCTTGGCATTTTTTTTTTTTTTTAGAAACCTGTCCCATTTCATTAAAATTTCTACAGATTTTACAGAAATACTAATTCTTGCCATTTAGCTTCTTTAGTGTTCTGGTGGAGTACAAAAGTATTACTGCTTATGTAAGAAAGCGAATGCTTATGTCAAAAGAGTGTTAAAATATTGTATTTATGTTTCTTTGCAATCAAAGAGGTTATACCTGGTAAAAATAAAGAGGGAGAAAAGGGTTATTTTATTTACAAGAATTGTAATACCAATCAGGGTATGAATTGGTTAAATCATGTTTGGTAGGAGGATAGATAGCAAATTGATAACTGGAGATCTGGAAACACAAGGAATAAAACATTTAACATGTAACGTATTTGGTGAGTTTAGCATAACGGATTTTGAGAGGCAACCAAAGGTATGTATTTCTCTCTGTATATACGTAGCACCTGCTTTTGAAAGCCCCAGCTGCATGCTATGAATTAAAATAGCAGGAGACTGGTTTGGAAAGTTCAACTAATTTTCTGATTCAATCAAGTTTTAGGTGAGGTTGTAGCCAAAGAGGTGTTCCATTGCTGGCAGGATAGTAATTTCCTACTTTTTAGTCTCATGAGTCCTGCTTTCTCAAACCTCCTGAATCACTGTATAAAGTCCTTTGCCTCAGGATTAGGCGCCTTGAGTAAAGTCAGGAGGAGCAAAATAATTATTCAGAGATGATAGGAGAAGTTTTCAAGCAAGCCACCCTCAACCCAGATGTCTTTCTTTCAAAAACAGTTTTATTTGTATTAAACAATATTAAATTTCCCATTTTTCATGTTTGTTAACCTTTAATTTAATTAATTAATTAATTAATTTTATTATTATTTTGAGACAGAGTCTTGCTCTGTTGCCCAGGCTGGAGTGCAGTGGTGCAGTCTTGGCTCACTGCAACCTCCACCTTCCAGGTTGAAGTGATTCTCCTGCCTCAGCCTCCCAAGTAGCTGGGACTACAGGTGCATGCCACCATGCCCGGCTAATTTTTGTTGTTGTTGTTGTTGTTGTATTTTTATTAGAGACAGGGTTTCACCGTGTTAGCCAGGATGGTCTTGATCTCCTGACCTTATGATCCACCCACTGTGGCCTCCCAAAGTGCTGGGATTCCAGGCGTGAGCTACTGTGCCTGGCCCTGTTAACCTTTTAAATGACATGCCAACGTTATTTCACATTAGCCATCAGGCTCTCATCATGATGGCACAGCATGCTGCATGGTGATTAAAAAGGAAAAAGCTTATTTTAAAATATCAAAAAGTTTTTGGTACTTGTAAACATTTAAGTCATTTGAAATTTTCAAAAGCCTTGTGAAATCTTGGCTTAGTAATAATGCACATGGTAGTTTTTTTGTTTTGTTTGTTTGTTTGTTTGTTTGGGGCAGGGTCTCGCTCTGTCACCTGATCACCTGGGCTGGAGTACAGCGGTGTGATCTCAGCTCACTGCAGCCTCAGCCTCCCAGGCTCCAGTGATCCTCCCACCTTAGTCTCTCGAGTAGCTGGGACAGCAAGCACACACCACCAAGACTGGCTAATTTTTGTATTTTAAGTAGAGTCAGGGTTTCACCATGTTGTCCTGGCTGGTCTTGAGCTCCTCAGCTCAAGCAATCAGCCCACCTCAGCCTCCCAGAGTGCTGGGATTACAAATGCGAACCACCGTGTCCAGCTCACACGGTAGTTTTTATCAAGAAAGAAAGTTATTGACTCTCCTTGAAATAAGGAGTTGAACAACATAGTCAATAAATATATATGTATATAATCATGAACATTCCCTTCTTTGAAGAGTATTGGATGTTGTTCTGAATATGAGAGGACACTTCGATATATAATTCTGTTTTCCATGACACTGATGTTAAGTTAGAATAATCAAAGGACTTCTCTAAAACTGTCTCAGGGGTATTGTTGTAAAATTTCGAAGTTTATCCAGCAAGTATTTTTAAAAGATGTAAGAAAAAGATAATGATTTAATTTAAAAAGAAAAAGCAAACACACTGCAGTTCAATGTATTTGGGGAATATCAAGTAGAAAAATATGTTGTCTATTAAACTGGGATGGCTGGTTGCCACTCTGAGGTAAGGCTTGCAAAAGTTATATTTCTTTTGTGTAAACTAGTAAATACTATATTTAACAGGACAATAGGAAAGTTAATAATTAAAAGAAGGGGTGGAGGTGGAAAATGTATTTTCTTGTATATCAATTATATTTTATGCAGTTTTGAGAAGCAGTGGTGAGTGTCAAGAACTGTCCATCCCTCTTGTATAGTTCTAAATCTCCTATATTTATCTTGGCAGAAACGGATTTGTTGTGCAGTACTTTCTAGGAGTATTAGAATTCACAATGGAATGTTCCATCAATAATGCAGTACAGCCCCAGCTTCAAGAATAAATACCCTGTAGAATCTAGATTCAAAAGGCTTTTAATAAGACAAACAAAGATAAGCAGGGGGAAAAAAACTATAAAAGAAAACTTTCCTTTTTCCATAAAGTAAAAAGCAGTAGTTATTAGGATAGAATATTCAATTTTTCTAGAACTGGTAGAATCTAAATTGGTGGTATTATCAGGATTCAGTCTGTTTGGTTAATCTCAATAGAAAAAAATTGTAATGACCCCTTTGCAAGGCCCAAACCTGGGTTCCACTGTAACTTTGACCGCATTTTTTATTCATGGAGAAGTTGTAGATATAGGCTCTGTGGGACTAAAATAACTTAGAGAGGGTGTAGGGGTCATCTGTCCCACAAGGCATTATCTATAATCCTGAAATATTGCCTGTTATGAAAAAGTGTTCCTCTTTTCTGTATTTCCCATGGTAGGTCATTTAATCAGCGTTTACAGAACCTGCCATGGACAGAACAATTGATGCTTTGGACAATATAAAATAATTAGAAAATGGGGCTTTTACTCCTAAGGACCTCACAATCCATTTAGGGTGGCAGAATATTTGCCAAACTAGAAATGTGCAGATAAACTATCTATTATTATTGAACAAAGTGACCACATGAATTGAGGGAGTGTTTGCAGAAGAGTGAACTAAATGAGGAAGGGTGCTCAAGGACTGCATTTTGGATGATGTTGGCCTGATTCTTAAACCACTCTTGAGGGGGAGCTAGGAAGAAGAATATCTAGGCAGTGGAAATAAAATGTAACTTCAAGCACAGCAGTGAGAACTTTTGGGGATGATATGTGGCTGTTGGAGTGGAAGGATAAGGAAGACCTGAGCATGAGCTCACTGGAAGCTAAGGAACTCATGGAGAAATAAGGTGAGTATGAGTGGTGGAGAAGGGAGCCAAGACATGTTTTCTCTAGTGTGTTAATGTGAAATTTATTAATATTTCCCCCACCCTTCAGGTTGCTGAGACCCCATAATTATGGTGGCCATGCAATTTATTATTCACATGGACAATTTTGAGAATTTTCTTAGTAATTACACACTGAGACTGTCTGAGGCAAACTGGGTCACGTGGTCCTCTAACAATAATGTTAACCAAAAAGAACTGGAGCACATTTCAGGCTGTGCAAACTTTCCTTCTACATGTTTTCTCAAGAGAGTAAGGAAAGGCTTTTGTGTATGGGAAAGCAGGTGGGTGGAGCAGAAGGCAAAAACAGAAAGCAAAACTGGACACAGAGTGTCTACTGAGCCCAATATTATTCATCTGTTGGGAGTGGGAACAGTTCCCTTCCCCACTACTCTCCACTCATTTTTGAACTACCCAAAATCTGGATCATCAACGTAAATGGATAAAATCTAGGCAGTTTAGTACCGTGCAAAAAGCTTGACTGATAAAGAAATTCTCAGGAGAATCATAGTTTAGAGTTGGAAGGTGTCTTTAAACAAACAAAAAAAGTTAAGAACACCTGTTTGCAGAAATTGTATTGAAGACCATGTTCAGAGACTGGAATTCTTCATGCATGCTTGAAGAATATTAATAGCTAGAATGTTAATCACAAGTAACACATTTTCATTTTGGCATGGCTGTGCCTAACATCAGTGGATATAACTAGGTAAGCCGGGGTGGAAGGAGTTGAGCAAGGAGAGCAGATAATGGAGGTTCTAAAGACCTGGAATTTTTCCAGCTATTACAGATAAAAAGCTGCTTCTTGCCTGAGAGCTTAAAAATAGCTGCTACTCTACTTTCAGGAAACAAGACAGTGTGGGGTCCCGGACTGAGGAGGGCACTGCAACAACATTTGGGCTTAGATGCTGCCTAGAGATTGACTTTTCCACCCAGGATGGGGTGTTTCATGGCTTTTCCTTGCTTGAATTACAGAGAATGGCTTAAGGACATCTTTATCTTTCAGAGATCTAAAAATAAAGACTAGATAACACTGATTTGTATTATCTGAGACTCTCTCTTAAAGGGACCTGGGCAGTAGCAGAGATAGCACAAAGGCCAGGTCCTCAATCCTATTAATAATTTCAAGGTGTCTTCCATCCACTATGAATTCCCTGTTTCCATCATGATGCTCACTTATTAACTTTTCAGACTGAGGCTTCATATTGTTTGGTATATGTTTAGAGAACTGTCTATTCTCTAAATTGTAGTTATAGAACATTACAAAAATAGTAACAGATTTTCACTTGGCTTGCAAATGTAACTGTACGTTCTCTCTGTTTTTTAAGCAGTATGAATAGGTATTGAATTCAATTCACTTGATTGAGATAGCTTATTCTCAAAGACATGCTGTCAAGAATTATTACTAAATTTGTTGGGCTGTGTTAGCAGAAACCATGGTGCTCCTGTATTTTTCTGCCAACCTCCCATGCAAATGAACTTCTCTAAAATTACCTTCGAAATTTAGTTTTGGAAGAGAACTTGGAGGTCATCTGGTGGCACGTCTAAAGTCATGCACCTGGGCAGTGGCAGAGACAGCACCAAGTCCAGGTCCTCAAGCGTATTAATAATTTCAAGTTGTCGTCCATTCACTATGAATTCCCTGTCTCCATCATGATGCTCACTTATTAACTTTTCAGGTTAGGCTGCCTATTGTTTGGTGTATGTTTAGAGAACTCTCTATTCTCTAAATCTATATAAATGCTGTCTAGAGGAAACAGGTGTTCTACCTATTTTTATGGGTGAAATTTAGACAGTTTGCAGGCTGTCTGCAAGGCTGAGGAGGAGTGGGCAGGGTGATATACAGAAGTAGAAATTTGTAATGGGAGTAATACACAAAAAGATGAAATGGATCAAGTTCCTAGAGGATAGTTTGTGACTAGTGGTGTGCTATTTGAATTCTAGGAAGAATCATAATAAATTGTAAAATGTGCCTACTTAAGACTGAAAGGGCATGAATAAACAAATTTGATAAAGGACTGATACACTTTAAATTCACTATATTACAATCATAATGTAAGGAGATGGCCTTATCTTCAAACTCTGGAGAAGATAATATAAATTTCCATAAGATTGAGCTGAAGAATTTTATTTCCACTTTATTTTGAAATAGGCTGGGAGTGAGAAGGTTTATGTAAACACATGTACTCTTTACATAAGTGACAGAAAAGCAGAAAAGAAAAATAACTCAAGGCAGTTTAGAGGAGGCTATTATGATTATACAACCTGCCTCCCAAGGACTTTTAAAGGCAACAGGAATAAGAATTTAGAAAAAGTTATTTAAATTCATTGTTTTAATGAATTCAACTGAAAATACACAATATGAGTCCAGAGAAGTCAAAGCTTTCAACTTTTCATGGGCATGATAGTTTAGGTGGTTTGGAAATAAGAAAGAGAAAAATAATGGAGTCAATTTCATTGGGTTAACATGAGGCAGGATGGTATACAGTGTGTGAAGGAAAGAAGACAGAAGACGTAATCTGTTTTACCCAAGTCAAACTTGCAAAATGCACACATACCATATTTTAGTAATTTGTACCTATAAACAAGTATATTAGAAAATGTCATCCCTTCCCTGTTTCTCTGAAAAACGAAACAAAACAAAAAACGCAGGAAGAAGAAGCAAGAGCCAGGTAGCAATACTGATTGCTCTTGCTCATCCTTTGGCTTCCAAATGAAGCTGTATTAAGCTAATGAATCTGTGACCCTGTAAGCCTAAGGCAAATGAATAATGCTATTTGGCCTTTCTTTTATTGGTTTGTTTTTCGATTGTCTGCAGAAACCGAAATGCAGGTAGTGTTGTTCAGAAGAATGATTTTCCTTCCCAAATGGTTCAGAAATACACCTACTTTTCCCAACTTGAATTCTGACTGGTCTGCAGGCTTTCTGATGAGCGCAGGTTTTTTCAGGATATGCAGAGTATCCAGGGTGTAAGGAGTGGTTGTGTGTCTCTTGTTATCGCAAGGACTCTTTAATTAGAAAACAAAACAAAACAAAACCAACAACCAAACAAAAAACCCAAACAGACAACTTTGAATAGGAAATTCTTGCTACAGGAGAAGTAATAACAAACAAAACTCTTTACCTTTATCCTTCCAGGAGCTTATTATTCTCTGGTTTGCAATTCTTTTATTAAAAAGGATATACTTTAAAATGCTTTTAGTGAAATTGCAGCCTCCAAAAATTATGTTTTCTATCTATTTAGTTGATTTCAGTTATCTTAAAAACAAGACAAAACAAAACGCATGGCTAAAGTTAAAGCACAGTGTGTTCTGGAACTAGTAATTGACTGACCTAATTAGTTCAAAAAAACCATTTTTCTTTCTCAATTGATGGTGGACCCTAGTTGGCACATTTTAGAACTAATATGTTTCAAAATAATGGCTTACTGAACTCTTCTGGCACTTAAAATGTTGGCACAAAAAGTCCTACCTTGCAAAGTTCTTACCTCCAAGAAAGACGTGCCCACTCTAAAGCATTACTAAGAAACAAGCTGACTTGGATATTTGGAATTTCCGTAGACATCATTGCTCTCCCTGGGACTGCCAGTTTGCATGGAAACACATCTTGTGGCATAATATCCCACCATTCTGAAGACTTTTTCAGGAATACCAATATTTGGGAGAAATGTATTTGAGAACACTTAATTACCAGACTCTTTTAAGCTTAATTGGCACATGTCACACACATCCTTATCTCCAGCTAGAAAATACTTATGGTTGTTTTTTTCTTTTTCTCTCTGTCTCTCTCTCTCTTTTTTTTTTTTATCTTAAAGAGACAGAGCCTCATTCGGTTTCCCAGGATGGAGTGCAGTGGCAAGATCATAGCTCACCTGAACTCCTGGGATCAAGTGATCCTCCCACCTCAGCCTCCCAAGTAGCTAGGATTACAGGTGCATACCAACACGCCCAGCTAATTTTTTTTTTTTTTTTTAAAATGAAGATAATCCTTGCTATGTTGTGAGGCTACTCTCAAACTTCTGGCCTCAAGTGATTCTCCCACCTTGACCTTTCAAAGTACTGGGATTACAGGCATGAATCACCATGTCTGTCCAAAAAGACTTTTTCAAATCCCAATGTATATCAATGTTTCTCTTTGCCTTTAAAAAACAATGACATAGTTACCTCTGGATCTTTCAGGAATGAATCAGCCTGTTGGTGTTACCAGTCATTTACTGTCTCTTCCTTTGCTCCTTCCCATCATTTGGACATTTGACTGTTTACCCTGATCAAACCCATTCATTCACTTCTATTCTTAATAGAAGTTCTGGGAAACTGGAAGGAAGAAGTTAGAAGCTAAAGCTATTGGTGCAAATAAAGCTTTGGATTACCTGTGGATTTTGAATATCTCTTCCATTCCTGACCCCCTCAACAGCATGGATAATTCAGTATCTTAATATATGAATAGCCACCAATGACTGATAAAGACAAATATCTTTATGACACAGTTCAAGGAGCAGCTTGCTACAGTTTCCGTTTCTGCTGGTGCACTATTCCCGAGCCCCACAGGCTTGCAGCCTTCTCATCAGCTGCTGTCCCTTTCAGTGGGGTAAGGGGATGAGGCAGTGATCACAGACACCTGGCTATGGCTTGCAGCAGAGTTACACAACTGCACACACTAAACGGCAGAGAAAGAGAAAGAGCTAAAAAAATTCTGGTTTGGGCCCAAATCACTAGTCATTTCACTTCATGAAGAAAAGCAAATGCCTTGTAAGCTTACATTATTTACAATGATCAGATTTTTTTAACATCCACCCAAAGCTGAGGACCACCACGCAACAGGGAACAGTTCAATGAACTATGTACAGAATTTACAAGGAAGTTTACATAATAGTCTACATTCCATTAACAAATTTACCTTTATGTTCACTGCTTGCTTTCAGGAAACAGATATATTTGTTTGTTTTTCTGTCCCCCTTATCCCAGTAATGCTGATTGAACCACCATGAGCTTGTACATTACTTTTTTCCCTCCCTCCTGGGATATATGATTTACTTTGTTTAGGAAAGAAAATGGTGACACATCACCCTTTGGTAAGATACTATTCAAAATTGTCCATATAAGAAATCTTGGAAATTGTTTCCCTCTAGAAGTATTAGAAATATATCTTTTTTGATTAACTTGGCAAATTGTAATTGAATTCTTTCTTAATATTTATAAAATAGTAATTGATTTTAGAAAGATGGAATTTAGTCAACATTTCTATGTATTGTACATAACACTTTTTAAGAAATGCCTATCCCTGGACCCTTAAACCAAAGTTTATTCTCCTGCACCACATTTCTTTTCTCTTTGCATTTTCAAGACCCTTCGTTGATTGTAATGCACAATAAAGACAGCACGTATGAAAACACTAATCGATCATTTGGCAGAATTATCAACCAGGCTGCTGTTTCTATTTGGCAATGTAGAAAACAGAGGCAATAATCCTGGATAATTCAAGCCAAAAATATGTCTTGACCTGGATCTTTGCCTCACAAAGCTGGTAAGTGTGATGCACAGGTCACCCCTAATATTTTAAGCCAAGGAGCACGATTGGAAGGAATGAGTATGCAGTCATCACTGTCCAGTGAAAGATGGAATTTCCACTGGATTTACACAAATGAAGTCTGTGACACAGTTTATGCCACAGTTTCTGAGCTGTAAACATGGGGTACTTGGACATGGCTGTGACATTAGAGAGTGAGTCTGTACAACTTTCAGCCTCTTCCTCGACTTAAGGAATGCAGGGGAGTATGGCTATTTTCATGGCAAAAAGAAAACAACTCGATAATGATTGAATAATAATCTATCATGTAATAATCTGAATCTTTCAAGAATGGGGCCAGTTTTGAGGGTACTTAACAATGTCCAACAACATTTATGTATTATGTACATGATTTAGGGCAGGACAAGGGAGATAGCCAGAGAAAGAAGTTGTTTTTTCTTGTTGTTGTTGTTTGTTTTCTATTTACTGTTCACCCTGAAAAAGGAGGATTTGGCCAGGAGCGGGGCCAAGGAGGGACAACTTTGGCCCAGAAGTGTCCAGAAAGAAGCGGGGACAGAGGTCTTTAACCATAAATATAGCAGCTTCTCCATTCTTCTGGTTGCCAGTGCCTCTAAAATCAGCTATTTAACAGGATTTGCATAATGCTGGCTGTGACCCTTTTACTGCCCAGGAGGGCATATGATGACACCAGTTTGTGCCTGATGGGTAAATTCAGGCCTAATAAATTTTACATTTTACAAAGGTGAATATATGAATTCAAAATGTTCTCTTTTTTTTTTCTCAGAAGATGCTTTACATCTAAAACTATAGCATCAAAGTTGTTCGATTTTTAAAGGCAAGATAAAAATATAATAATAAAAATACAAATATTCTCAGTCCTTCCCAAGAAGAATAATCTAAATCAGTAAATAAAAAGAAATTGTTTGTTGAGGAACATAGCCTACAGACACTTCCTTTCTGATTTGGCATTTCATTCTTAAAAGCTTTTAAAAGAGCTTTGACAAGGCATCCCCAAACTTTTTACACAGGGGGCCAATTCACTGTCCCTCAGACCGTTGGAGGGCCGCCACATATTGTGGTCCTCTCACTGACCACCAATGAAAGAGGTTCCCCTTCCTGATGTGCGGCGGGGGCCGGGGGTGGGGGCGGATAAATGGCCTCAGGGGGCTGCATGCGGCCCATGGGCCGTAGTTTGGGGACGCCTGCAGAATGATTCATTTCTATTAGGCATCAGCCAACAATATTCCTTCTTATGTTTAAGATAAATGGCTGCACAGTGGTTCCTTTGTGGTCATTACAGAATATTAACCTTACAGTCACTGACGTGGCCATGTGCCATTCTTTTTGGCCATTTTATGATGGCAAAGCATCTCACCCTGTCAAGGGACTGAAAAGTTCCCAAATGAATGACTCTAAGGCTGGGGATTTCCTTGACCAGGAAAGTGTGATAATACAACTAAAAATCTAAATTAAAATGTGGTCCCTATAACCCTATTATTTTCTCATGAAACCACTGAGATCATTTTTTTCCAGTTAAAGCAGTCTTTGTATGTATATTATGTTCAGCCTTAACTATTCATTTATTTAGAAGTCCCCTTTTCCTCTTGCCTTCTGAAAGAATATCTCGTAACTTTCTCCTCTTCAGCTCACCTGTAAGAATTCAGCATCATTTGTCCAGTGAAGGCTATAATTTCCAGAAGCTGATTGTAAACATGGACCCTCATCACAGCTTTAGGGAAAAAGCTAGATCATTAAACCAGGCCATCATTCTTAATTATGACCTCAACCTGTTTCACATTCATGGGTCAGGTCCCAAACCTCTTGTATCACTGTTTGGTTAGCTTACGGTTTCATTCAATCTTGCAAATGAACATATGGAATTCTTAGATACTAAGGTTAAAAAATAAAATGATGAGGTTTCAATGACATAACATGGGAAGAATCTCAACTGTAGCTGGTTGGACATGTTTAGAATTATGCTGGGCTACTGAAGGATGCCCCTTCTATGAGAACCATGACCAAAATTAATCCATAAGTAGAGATAAGGCAGAGGAGCAATGACAGTGATTAATGAGCGTGGACAGGGTCTGTTCTTTAGGGACTGGTGCACGTGTTGGAAGTTCTACTGCTTTTGTCATTGCTCTTGTTTTTATTTGTAGTTCTGCTATTTTCAAGATTTTCTTTAAAATGGAAATATGGTCCTGAAGGGGAATGACACCAACATGGGTGTTTGTGTATTTTCCAAAGCATTCATTCCAGTGTGGAATGCAGAGCTCAGAGAGCAGAGCCATAAAGCGCCAGCTGAGGCCTGTGTGACTAGCCTGTCACCATTAGATACTGCTCTCTAGAAGGCAAAGAAATATATACTATTTGATTTAAGATTTGGCAGTTCAGATAACTGCCCAGGCACCCTTTTCATAGCACATAAATCTTGCCTTCCTAGTGGCAAGGGCATTATTTTTCTCAAGCAAAAATTGCTCACCATCCCCTTCCTCCCACACCCTCTGGATCAGGAATGATGGAACTGGGATGGCATGGCTTCCTGGCACAGCATCAGGAAGAGCCAGGGTGATGAGATGAATTCAGGGCTGCATATCTGAAATGGCCAGTTAGAAAAATGGTCATTGCCTTCCAAGCTCCTTATTCTCAAGAAAAAATGAAAAATGTTCTCCATTGCTACCAGGTCAACCAGGTTGGATTCTAATGTTAATTTAAAATTTGCCAGAAGTCTGAGAAAGAAGCATCTTTCAGAATATCCAACTTAATGGTGCGGTGAAGATGGCAGGTTGGGATTGTGTCGCCTTGACCAGCTTGTGCCCTTCCTTCCCTCTTCTTCCATGGAGCTGCGGAGCCCTTTTACAACAGAAATGGGAGAACTTATGGGTAGAGGGGAATCTTCCTTTCCAGTCTAAGCTCCTTTTCCTTTTACCTTCTTCCTGGAAATCTATAACTTGTCAATGGCTTTGTTTTTTCTTCTGAGATCCTGGAAATTGTGGTAGTTTTCTTTCTTTCTTTCTTTCTTTCTTTCTTTCTTTCTTTCTTTCTTTCTTTTTTTTTTTTTTGGCAACATAAGATTGTTACAGTTGATCAGGAAGCAGTGCAGGTGGACAGCAAGGTCCTCTTTTCATTTTCACTTAAAAAATAAATCAGTAAAATCTGGGGCAACTAGAAAAGACTGCTAAAGATCTACCTATCTAACTTCTCTCTTGTGTTTGTTTGTAAACATGGCAATTAATAGAGCTCTTAAAGAGCTGATAACCTGGACCACAGTAGACTGGAAAAAAATAATTTTTTTTTGTCTTTTTGAAGTAAACATGGTGCAATAATAAAACATATGCAAGATCTAAAACCAATTGGATGGCTGAATCTCTTACCTCAAGAAACACAGCAGTATCCCTGTTGGGGACCTGTAAGGTTAAAAAACAATAGAAGAGGAAAGCAGTCTAAATGGAACCATTAGAACAGACCTCAGTGTACATAGTAAAGCCAATAAACGACATTAAAAAGAGAAAAGGTGATGGGGAAAAACATTCGGGACCACTTGTCTATGGAATTCACATCAGTCAAGTCGGGGATTTTGACTTTGAGCTGGGAGGCGCGCCTGCGGATGCGCCCCTTGCTGGGCACCCCGTGCCGGTCCAGGGCGCGCCCGTAGGCTTCGCGGCTGCTCAGAGGCTTGCGGTACTGGATGCTGGCGCTGTCGTAGGAGTACATGGTGGCCTTGGGGTCGCTTACGCTCGTGAGCACTTCAGAGCCACCTGTCTCATTCCGGATTTCCAGGGTGCTGAGGAGAATGTTGCCGTGGGCGTCGACCTGATGGTAAAAAAAACAGGCTGAGACACAAGTCTCAGGACCTTTGCCTGTTTTCATTAACCTGTCACTAATGATACTCATAAGGCTCATTAAACGTTGTCTCCATAAACATTAGGCTTGATATGCGACATGGAGATCATCTATCTATCTATCTATCTATCTATCTATCTGCCTATCTATCAGCTATCCATCCATCCAGCTGGCTATCTCTCTATCTATTCATCATCCATCCATGCATGCATTTATCCATCCTCCATTCATCCATCCATCCATCCATCCATGCATCTGTATCTATCCATCATCCATCCATGCATGCATCTATCTATCCATACATGCATGCATTTATCCATTCATGCATCTATCTATCCATACATGCATGCATTTATCCATCCATGTATGTATGTATCCATCCATCCATCCATCCATCCGTCCATCTGGCCATGCAGCTATCTAATCTATCTGTTATCTATCTATCTATCTATCTATCTTTCCATCATCCATCCATACATCTATCTATCCATCATCTATGTATCTATCCATCCATACATGCGTTTAGCCATCCATCCATCCATCTATGTATCTATATTTATCTATCCACTCATGTATGCATCTATCTATCTATAATCCATCCATTCATCTTGCTAGCTTTCTAGCTATCACTCTATCATCTATCTCCACTCATGTGTGTGTATGTGTGTGTGGGGTATTTCTTCTTGTTATAAAAGTGGTACATGGAAACAAAGCTAGAAACACAAAATAAAAAAATAAAAATTCGTAATCTTACCTTCAGAGTCTATCATTAACATCTCACTTGCCTTTCAGTCTTTTTTATGTTCAGATACACTTACAAACACAGGTTCATTCATATATTTTGCCTTACCATCTGCTTTTCTCAGTAATACAGCCTGGGCATTTTTTCTTGTTAATAAATATTCCTCTGTGACATGCTTTATTAATAGCTTACATGAATAAATCATCATTGAATTAATCTGTTGTTAAATGTTAAGGTTTGTTTTACTTTTGTAGTATTATAAAAAAAATCTAGAAGCAATATTTTATAGTTAAATCTTTGTGCATATTCATGATTATGTCCTCAGGCAAAACTGACATATATGATTAATGGGTCAAAGGATTCCCCTGGCTATCATTTGAATTTTGTTCCTTTACTGCTGTTCACTAATGCTTCCTGCAGTTCCAGCAATACCTATCCCAGGTTTCCTGGTTCTTCTTTATGCTATGCCCACACATACCGTTTTGGAACTACAAAAAATATGAACACAGATTGGCTTAGAATGTCTCCTTGTTTAACTTAAAGCTGATATACTTTGCAAACTGATTTACCTGGACTGATATGGCTTATACATGAAAATGAGCTTTAAGTACTGCCAAGGCCAGTACAGGGAGCTGTGCTAACACGTGTATTAGCATAGTGCCTGACTTATAGTAAGGGTTCTAAATGCTTTTGAATGAGATTAATCTTAGTAAACACTTAACACACTAGGTATAGGTAAGGAGGCAAAAGAGCCTGGTGAAGAAGAGATAGAGAAAAACATAGGAAGCAAATACAAACAAGAGGAAAAGAAAAGAAAGGGACAGAGGATGGGTAGCATGTGATGGTGCAACCATAGTACAGTTTATTGAGTTTCTACCATAAGCCTAGCATATATATTACTTAACACAGCAACCCTATTCTAAAAGGCCATCCCATCCCCATTTTATAGATAAGGCAACTGAGACTTAGAACAGTTAAAAACCTGGTTCATTTACTCAGCTAGTTAAGTGCCAGCCCTGATATTAGAACCTATGTGTATCTGATTCAAAGCTCAAGCACTTTCTACTGAGAGGAACACGTCACAGTCCTTGACCTTTGTTACACCACACAGAAAGTTCAGTGATGCATTTGTTAGCTTTAAGACTTGAGTTGGTTGGAGAGAGAAATGACAACCGACTCTGGCTTCTGTCATCTCTCTCTCCTTTTTATCTATCATTGTTTCCCTCTGTGAAGCACTGCGCTTCAGTCTAATTGGGCTACCCACATGCCCTGACCCTATACATCTATTGGTGACTTTATTCAGGGAGTTACTATGATGATGATGATGATTATTATTATTATGTTGTTGTTGTTGTTGTTGTTAATGACTACTATTTATTGAATTCTACTGTGTAATTTATCTCAGTAATTTCAGTAATTGAATCTTACTGAGTAATTTACCTTAGTTATAACAACACCATGACATATATGTTATCCTAATTCAGCAGACAGGGAAACAATGCTCAAAGAAGTTAAGTAAATTAAACCGATTAAACGATAGGTGCCAAATTTGGGATTAAAATAGAGAACGTTCTTTGTCTCAAATATTATTTTCTTTCCTCTTTGTGTGTTAATCAAATCAACCTGTTTTGGCCAAGGCTCAATTTAAATCCTACTTTCTTGTGTATCTTTGTACTTTGCCTGCCTACAGTCACCTCCAAAAATTTCTTCCAACATTTATTGAGTGCTTACTGTGTGACAGATAAAATGTTAGGTGACAAGGATATATGCTTGGCAGAACTAGCATCCTTACCCTCAAAAACCCTTAGCCCTTACTTTTACAGCAGAATTTACAAACTCAGCCACCTACAGGGACCAAGAAGCATGGCTGAGAAGAGCCAGTGAAAGTAAGTAATTGAGTGAAGCTAGGGAGTGGCGATGCCTATGGGGATTTGGAGAGCAGATGTCTAAGGAGGAGACTGCAACTCAGCTCCGGTTGACAACTACACTGAATGAACTAGACCCTAATGTTGCCAGATCACCCCCTTTACCAGAAAACCTGAACATACTGATTTTTATTTGGTCTCTTTTTAAAGTTGGCTCAGTAGTGTAAAAATGATCTTCAGGTCAGATGAAACTTATCTGTGTTCAGATCTGGCTTTTGCATAGCCAGTTAGGGACCTCTTTTTTTTTTCCATTCACATATCCTTTAGCCTATATTACTTTGTGTTGATACTGATTTTTAGGTTTCAGTTCTATTTTCCCAACCAGAGCTATTGGGGTGCTCAGGGGATACATAATGAGGGCCTGGACTAGGACAATGTAGCAGAAAGAAAAGGAAAACTACACTAAGGAGGAACTTTTGAAAAACGTTTAAAATAGAAATGAAACGGATTTGGCCACAGGATTAGATTTGTAGCACAAGGAAGGGAAGGTGATCTGGAAGCTGTCAGCCTATTAGGCTGAAAGGATTATATTGTCATCAGCAGAAATGGGGTGTTTAGTGTCTGTTGCATGTATGGGGAAAAAGGAGTTTGTTGTTTTGGTTGAATTTGTGATATAAGTTAGGCATCCTTGTGGTGGTGGCCGGCAAGTAATGTATGATAACTGGGATCATGTTGGGGCTGAGATTATTTTAGGAGTGGGAGGTAGCTATGGGGTTGGTGAAAGAAACACAGAGATACTACAGAGGTAGACAACAAATAACCAAATGCTATGAAGAGAAATTCAAGAAGGGAGATAGGTATCCAGAAGGAAAGAATGGTCAGTAGTGTTTCAGAGAGAACAGGGGGAATGAAGAAGGCTCATAGAGTTATCAATAAGGCCATTTGTGGTCTTAGAATAAAAACTGAAGCAGAACCTGCATTGCAAGGGATTAAAGACTGAATTGGTAGCAAGGAAGTGAAGAGAGTTTGTATGGACTCCCCTTTTCAAAAGTTTGCAGGTCAAAGGAAGAAAAGAAATAAAAACATTAGCTCAAATATATCCTTAGAGATATAAGAGTGAAGCATAATATTGGGAGTGACAAGTTTTCAATCAAATGCTAATAGTATAATATGGACCATGATTAGGGATTCATCAAAATGAGAAATCACTGGGGGTCACAGAAGCCTTCATGTAGCAGTGGGGCTTGCATTGAGTTTTAAAGGATGGGTAGGACAGAACAAAAATTGAGAGTTGAAAGCTATGTTATTATTCTAGTTTTATTACCTACTCAGAAATGGTCTGGGACAAGTCTGGTCTCAGTTCTCTTATCTATAAGTGAAAGATTTTCATTAGGTAATCTCATGGATTGGCTTCCAATCTTTGACAGTTTTTGATTATGAAGAACATTCCAGGTGAAAGACACAGCATTCCAAAAAAAAAAATGCTTGTAAAATGGAATCACCTGGTCTGTACTGTATGCATCATTAAGTTACATTATTATGAATCTCTCTAAGTTAACAAAGTTGCTAGAATTTAGAATCAGCCAGTGAAGCATACAGATGCTTCTAATTAAGCAGAAGTCAGGGTTAACAAGGTACATTTTATTAAGCCATTTTGGTTAGCCTCGGTGCAGATTCAAACGTGCCTAAAAATTGTATGAGGTTTATCAGTTTGTGCAAATCCCTCAATATTTTCTGTCACTGAAAGCTAGAAATCATAGCTTTAAGTGGTTTGGCATTTAAGATAATGGATCTAGTTCTGCAACTATCCATGAAAGCCGATTACGTTAGTACAGAATTTTACATCAACATTACCACGTTCTTTTTAAGGAAAAATTTTTAAGTAGCTGTATAACAATTCTTGCCCACTTTCATTTTCTTTCTTACCCAGAGTAGGACTTGTGCTAAAGGCTGATGTTAACAGACTCCTGTGTGTTTGTGTGTGTACATGCTCATGCATTTCTTCTGCAGTGTGATATTTTATCCCTCTCCCTCCAGGTTTTTGCTGTCAGGTAAGGTATACATGTGGTAGCCATACCACTGCTGACATCCACATGTTTCTGGTTGGCTCTGCCATATTCCCTTCCCTTTGGAAAAGAGTGGCTTTCTCTTTGCCTCAATCATATCAGGGCATCTAAGATTTTCTATCTGAAGCTGACACAGCTTTCCAAAAATAATATCCATGGAGAAAGGGTTATTGTTTTCTCATATCATCAGAGAAATCAAGAAGTCTCATGTTGTACATTGCTTCAACATCTGCAGTGGTCAAATGCTGCCTAATTAATACAGAAATATCAAAATATCAATATCTGAGTTAAGCACAA